TGTTCCGGAAAGTCTGACACTTTTATATATATCTTAAATTAAAGCTAATGTAATATACTTTATCATGGAAAAAAAAAATTTCGGACTTTATTTTATCTTCAAGGTGAAAATGGCTACCAAATGCTATTATTGTGTGAAAATTCCCAATTTTATTTTTTACATTTTTAACTTTATAATGCTATAACTTATTGAAAAGTGTATTGATCAACATAATTTTTTTATGGGAAATATTTTTTTTAATAATCCCTTTTTCATTCGACATACTTTATCTTAATCAGGATATTAATAAGGAACCAGCAGATTAAGTAGCTTTTGGAATAAAACACCAATTTTTTAAAAATTAAACACTATCTAAAGATTTGCATCGAAGCGTTTTTTTTCAACACGGAACTTGAAAAAGACACCCTATCAAGATTAACAAATATGGTCGAAAAAAAACAAACTAAAGTGTACATAAAAAGGAAAAACAAACAAGTAGAAAAATTCAAAAGGCTTGAAGGAAAATCCACAATAAAGAAAAGTTAAACCACAACTCCAACAAGAAAACTGCAGTTGTCAATTTAACTGACAAGGAATTGACTAATAATGAATTAATTATTCTGGAAAAAGGTTTTAATTTTTCGTTAGTTCCAAAGAAAATCCCAAAGGAGGACATTATAAGCAGTATAGAAAACTCGCTATACCAACTTGAAGACCATGAGAAAGAAATCATCAGGCAAGAAAGTTGCAAAATTCTAAGAGAAGCAATCTTACCAAAACAAAACTACAACAAAGATGAGTTAACTGCACTCAAAAATTTAAGGAACGACAACAATGTCATAATACTTAGAGCAGATAAAGGGAACGCAACAGTAATCATGAAAACCACAGAATATAAAAACAAGATGAAGAAATTACTGGAAGAAGGACCGTATAAAATCATTAAAAGAGATCCACTGAACCGAATAATCAAACTAGTTAATGATGAAACAAAGAAAGCAATACTAGATGGAAAAGAACGAAAACAACTACTAGTGACAGTTCCAAGATTACCAAGAATATACGGAGTCCCAAAAATACACAAGAATGATGTGCCGCTCAGACCTATAGTCAGTGCCATAAACTCGCCTACATATAACTTAGAAGGTCACTTAGCAAGAATTCTGAAAACTAACACAAGAAAAACGTCTTCCTATGTGAAAAACTCGACGGACTTTGTGGAAAAACTACAACAAGCAAATTGGAAAGAACGAGACATTCTCGTCAGCTTCGATGTTGTTTCGTTATTTACGATGGTGCCAGTGAGGGACACACTGAATATTATAAACGAGAAAAAATGGATAGATGAAAAACTACAAAGCTTATTGGAAATATGCACCAAAACAACAGTTTTCACATACCAAGATACTATCTACGAACAAACTGATGGAATGGCAATGGGATCAAGACTAGCACCAGTATTTGCCAACATATTTATGGAATGGTTTGAAGCGGAAGCAATGAGCACGTATACTCAAAAACCAAAAATGTGGTTGCGATATGTAGATGACACATTCGTTTTATGGCAACACGGCGAGGACAAACTACAATCTTTCCTGCAACACTTAAACAGCATACACGCCAATATACAGTTCACAATGGAAACTGAGGAAAACGGAAAATTGCCATTCCTAGATGTAATGGTAAAAAAACAGCCTAATGGGAAATTCGGCACAGGAGTGTATAGAAAAAGTACACATACAGATAGATATTTACATGCCGATTCACACCATTGCCCCTCACAGAAAATGGGATTATTACACACAATGGCAACAAGAGCTGTCAGAATAGCTGATGAAAACCATGTGAATGAGGAAAAAACATACTTACGACAAGCACTAAAGAATAATGGGTACACAATTAAAAATATTAATAAGGCAATTAAAAAAGCAGAGAAAAGAAAAAATGCAACGCGTATCATGGATGACGAAAATAATGAAGATGAAAAGAAAGGAACATTAATACTGCCGTACATACAGGGAATTACCGACCGCATATCAAGAATCGCACAAAAATTCAAATTAAGAACCGTTTTCAAACCAAACAAAGTAGCAGGATCACTACTCCGAAACCCGAAAGATAAACTGCCAGAGATGCAAACACCAGGAGTATATGAAATACCGTGTTCATGTGGTAAATCTTATATTGGACAAACAGGAAGAGCTATTGCGACAAGAATAAAAGAACATGAAAAAGATGTGGAGTACCAAAGAACAGAAAAATCTGCAGTAGCTGAACATGCCAAAAACAAAGGACATGACATACAATTCGATAAAGTAAAAATACTTAACAAAGAAACTCATTTTGGCAAACGGATGTACAAGGAAGCAATAGAAATCGAAAAATGTCCGGAAAATTTTAACAGAGAAGATGGATGGAAAATCAGCAAAACTTGGTTACCTATCATACACCAGACAAAAAGGAAATTAACCAACAACACCGAAAATAATTCAATATACGAAGAGGCAACAATCAACATAACAAATAATTGCCGGTGTAGGAAAGGAAGACCGAAATGTCAAGAATGCCATAAACAACGTTAGTCAAAAATCGAGATGTTGTCAACAACAATAGTCAAAAACCCGAAACGTTCAGCAACATTAGTCAAAAACCCGGATACGGTAAACTACATTAGTCAAAAACCAGATGTTTTCAATTTTATAAAAGCAGACTGTTATCAAGATAAGCCGCCAGTATAGTTGCAGCCACCGACCAGCAACCATCACTCTGAAGATGGACTCTGCAATGAGTCCGAAACGTCAGAACTCAACTGTAAACATGGATATATCTTCAAGCACTTCAAGCAACACTTCCGAGTACTTATTTAAAACCTATAGAAATTTTAATAATTATACTATATTAATCCAAATCTCATAACGGTGTATCATTGTCAGGCGCGGAACCAGAATTTCCTAATTTCCTCCCACTCAAACTTAAATTTAATTTAATTAATTAAAATTTTTAGAAGTTATTATTTGGCAAGAAAATCAAAGAAAAACAATTATTTAAACAAAAAAAGTAGTTTATTTACTACTGAATTAATGTTTTTCTATTCACTTTTTGATTCGTTACTTTCTAAAGAGGAAATTATTTAATCTTATATAATTGTGTTAATTGTGTAGTTTAAAAACATATGATTTATTTTAGATTATCTTACAGAAACTGAAATAAGATTTTTAGATATTCTTTACCCTAATAGAACCAGGATAGTGTATAAAAATGTACAAAGTCAGCCCAATTTAATAGATTGTGGTATATTTGCTATTGCATTTACTGTTAGCGTAGTTTTAGGTCGAGATCCGTCAAAAGAGAACTACGAACATTCTTTAATGAGAACACATGTGGCATCAATACTTGAAAGTAAGTTAATAACACTTTTTCCTTTAGCAGGAGTTAACCCATCTTTTATACCACGTACTCCTGTCAGAAATTTACGACGAAAATATAAATCAACTGTATCTTTAAGACTAGAAAGGAACCAAGACTTAAGTTTGTCACAAAGTTCTTTGAATGATTCTATTCCAATACCTTCAAGTCCATTTTCTCCATTACATAAAATTCCTACTTTGAGAAAATCTGGTGATATTATTGATTTTAATAACTCAATGACTAATTTATATATAACACCTTCGTCACAAATTTCGGATATAACTTGGACACCAAAAAATAAAGGAAAGGGAAGGCCGCAAAAAAAAGTCCGTTTATTGAATAATAAACAACAAAGAAAAAAACTTAACAATTTAATTAAAAATAATTATAATCATAAAACGGATCATATTTCAGATTCTAAAATATTAAGTAAGTATATTTTTTACATCGTATAGTTTTAAATCAAGACTTCAATAATTTTGTATAATTAATAATATTTTATGATTTAAATTTAAAAAATGAAGCAAATTTTTCAAACAAAAAAACCAAATCCTAAATATTATTTATATGTATAATATGTTTAGAACAATTTTTTTTTAAATAAATCATTGATAAATTAAATAAATAAAAATTATATATATATATAATTAAGAAAATGATCAAATTTCATAAAAAAATTTAAATTAAGATTAAAAAAAATTATAATTGACTTAACAAATAATTTTTTGTTAAAATTTTTTAATTATAATTTTTTCTTTACGTGAAATTTAAGTTGAACTCATAATATTTGTATAATAATTTTATGAAATACATAAAATAAGATTTTTGATTGAACGACTCAATACCTTAAAAAATCATAGAATAATATTTTTATCGATATTTAGCTGGGATCTATGTTTTCACGGTGTTGAGTTTAGACATTTTCATTGGGAGGGAAAAGGGCTCTATGAACCATAAAAAGATTTGTAAGGCCATAAACTCTTCAAATTTTTACAAATGAACAAAAAGAAAAAAGATCTTAAACTCAATATTTATCTCAAACTTCGTAACAAATTTCAAAAATAACTAAATTACCAAGTCTTCTAAAGTATACCTGGATTTAATACTGATTTTTACAATGTTGTATTAAATATATTATAACAGAGTAAAATTTATTCATTAAAGTATTATAATATTTCATTCAATTGTAAAATTGTAGCTCAACCAATTACAACTAAAAAAAAACCTATTGGGAGGCCAAGAAAAATTAACACTGAGAAAATAATTGGAAATAAAAATAGTAATATTGAGATAAAAAGAAATGAAAATAGTTTATTAGAAATGAATTCAAATATTAAATGCGATATTGTTTTATCATGTTCATCAACTGTTGAATTATTAGATCAATGTTCAAGTGAGTATGCTCTTTTAAATAATATGTTTAATAGTTATAAAAAAGTAGCTTATAAGTGTAATTTTTTTAATTTGTAAAAAGAAAAAAGAAATTTCTTTTATTATAGCTCCATTAATTTCAGCTATTAAAAGATCAGTTGGAAGACCGAGAAAAAATAATTCATTGCGTATAATAAAAAATAGAAATGAAAATAGTCAAATTGAAATTAGTATAAATGAAAACAGTACACATGAAACAAATGTTAATATTGTTGATTATAATATAGTCTTACCATGTGCATGGACACTCGAACTGCCTGATCAATTTTTATGTAAATAATTTTTTTTTTTTAATAATATTTAATATTTTATTGTATGTTTTTTATTTTATTATGATAAAAAAGTAAAATATAAAAAAAAATTATATCTTATTATACAATAAAACAAGAAAAAGTGTAATATATATATATATTTTTTTTAAAAAAATAACTAACAATAATTACTGCATCAAAAGTTATAGGATATATCTGATGGTAGATTATACTTAGTATAATCTATTTTTCCTATAATTTTTTTTTGTTTCCCTAAATAATAAGTCATTAGTTCTACTTAAGGTAATATAGATTGTTAAGATTTTAAAAATTTTAAAATATAACAGTTCTAAAAATAATTGTTTTTTTTAAATATATATTGCATTAAACATAATCGTATTTAAAAGAATTGAATAATTAATAGCCTTACATACATGATTAAATGTTCATAATTATTAATTATAGTAAAGTTTACAAACTAGGAAAAAAAAGTTTTTTATTATTTAAGCAATGCCTATTTCTTTATCTATTCTGTACATATTTTTGTTAACTAGCAAAATTTTATTGGAATAATTGAAACTATAGCAATTTTACTTTAAACTTAAAGCCTAAAATATTTTAATCTTTTAGGCGGACAAATGAACAAAATTTGTACCAACTGTAAAGCTTATTACTTTGACGGAGAGCAAAATTGTTCTGGCCAAATAATGTTATGCTGTCAAGGCGGAAAAGTTCTTATAAATCATGATATTTATCCAGAATATATGGTTCGAGATCCACCTGAAATTCTTCAGGAATTATTATCAGGAAATCATCATTTATCTAAAAATTATCTGCAACATATTCGTCAATTTAATAATTCATTGGCATTTGCTTCATTAGTGGTCAAACAATCTTATCCTTTAATATTGCAAGGTCGAGGACCAAAGGTAAAAATCGCTTATTGTATTTTTTTATTGTTAATCTTAATTGCTGTATCTTATTTATTTACCGAACAAAATGTTTTTATTTTAGATAGTTAAAGTTCATGGACAAGCATACACAGCGATTGCTGAGCCACAACCATTGAACGGACAGCCACCTAGATACGCTCAACTGTATATGTTAGATCCAATGCAAGCTCATATTGCTAGAGTATCCAATTCATTAAATGCAGGTTGTGATGCTGAATTAATGCATCTGCTGGAAAATATGTTGATGACAATTAATAATCCTTTTGTAAACATTTATGGTCATATGAAAACTATATGTGATCTTAATTAAACAACAGATGTAACCATGACATTTTTAACCCACGGTGATCCTAGACGATATAATGCTCCAACATCAAATGATGTGGCAGTTGTGTTTGTAGGAGATAATGGAATTCCACCAACTAACATTGATATATGTGTTTATCCTAAAGAGCGACAAATTAGAACTGATAAAAATCCATATCCTTATACTATATTTCCATACACAAGTCGTAATAGTGATCCATTAGTTTATCCATTACTGTTTGCTAATGGTGAACTAGGTTGGGATCCAGCACTACGACATCATGGACCAAGGCGAACAACAGTTAGAAATCATCTTACCCAGAGAGAGCTTTATTGTTACAGGTTTGCTCGGCGTGAACAATTTTCAGTTATACATCAAAGTGGATTATTATTACAACAGTATATTTGTGATGCTTTTATTCGTTGTGAAGCTAACAGATTAAATTTCATTCGTTTAAATCAAGACAAACTTCGAGCAGAGTCATATAAAGGTTTAACGGACGCACTAGCAGGTGACTTAAATGTTCCAATTGGTCGCCGTATAATTTTACCATCAAGCTTTACCGGATCTCCCAGATATATGACTCAATGTTATCAAGATGCCATGGCTATGGTGCGCAAATGTGGAAAGCCTGATTACTTTATTACAATGACATGTAACCCGAATTGGCCTGAAATTAAAGCGAATTTATCCAACAATAATTCAGCTGACGCACCAGATTTAATTGCACGTATTTTTGAATTAAAAGTTGATCAACTCATTAAAGATCTAACAGCAAATAATGTTTTGGGAAAATTAAAAGCATTTGTTTACACGATTGAATGGANGAAAATCAAAAGCGTTTGTGTACACGATTGAATGGCAAAAACGTGGCTTACCACATGTTCATATTTTACTGATAGTAGACGAAGCGTTCAAACCAAAAACAGCAGATGATGTACAACGAGCAGTAAGAGCAACAATTCCAGACGCGCAAGCTGAACCCAAACTTTATGATATCGTGAGTAGAAATATGATTCATGGACCATGTAACTTTCTTAATCCGGATAGCGTTTGCATGAAGGATAATGGCGATGGTCTTAAATGCACAAAGAATTTTCCAAAAGACTACAGAAATGACACAGTTTTCGATGGTGTAAACGGCTACCCATTATATGCGAGACCACAAGATGGAAGGTACACATTGAGAAAAGTCGATGGTCAGAATATAAAAATGACAAACAATTGGGTAGTACCATACAATCCATGGTTACTTTCGAGATATGCTTGCCATTTGAATGTTGAAATATGTTCATCGATAAAAAGTGTTAAATATTTGTATAAATATGTTTACAAAAGTCATGACAGTGCAACTTTACAATTGTCCGAAGGTAATGAGATTTCAAATTACTTAGACACCCGTTATGTTTCTGCTCCTGAAGCTATGTGGCGTATATTTGCCTTTAAAATTCATGATAGTATTAGTCATATTATTCATCGATTACCGATTCATTTACCAGGTATGCAAATAGTTACATTCCGAGAAGGACAGGAAGTACTAGCAGTGGAAAATGCCCAAAATAAACTTACACAACTAGAAGCATTTTTTAAACTAAATGCATCACGATCAAATGATAATAACTCATTGTTTTATTTAGATTTACCAACAACACATCACTTTTCTGTAAATAACCAATGGGAACTCAGAAAAAGATACATTAAAAATATTATTGGTAGAATGTACAGTGTTTCGCCACAAGAACAAGAAAGATTTGCCTTACGAATTCTATTACTACATCGACCAAATCCTACATCATTTGAAGATCTCAGAACTGTTGATGGGAACCTGAAACCATCATTTGTCGAAGCTGCTAAAACATTAGGATTACTAGAAGACAATAGATTATGGCGTCAAACAATGGCTGAATTAGCATTGAGCTCAATGCCTGTACAAATTAGAAATATGTTTGCATATATTTTAGCATATAATGGCCCAACAGATGCATTAGATATATTTGAAGAATTTTATTTTGAAATGACAGAAGACTATAATCGAGCAGAAATATATGGTAATCAATCTAGATACATGTGTTTACGGTCAATTGAAGATGTGTTGGAAGCAAACGGTCGACATCTACATGAGTTTGGTCTTGAATTACCTGAAGGAAATTATATAGAGGCCACAACAATTGAAGAAGTCAACCAACAACATCTCGAAGATCAAGCTATTACTATGTATGAGAAATTAAATCCTGAGCAACAACAAATTTACAACATGGTTCTAGATGCAATCAATAATCCTCAAACTCGGAGTTCAAAAATTTTCTTTGTAAATGGCGCAGGAGGGACGGGTAAAACTACACTATATAAAGCGTTAAATCATAAATTGAAATCCCAAGGTAAAATTACAATCAGTGTTGCGTTTACTGGGATTGCAGCTTCATTACTTCAAGATGGAACTACAGTTCATTCAGCTTTTGGATTACCACTTAACATTTGCGAAACAAGCACATCTTCCCTCAGGCATAGTAGTAAACAAGCAATCAAAATTAAAGATTCTCCGCTAATTATATGGGATGAAGCTCCTATGTCAGCATCATTACAAGTATCAGCTGTCGATAAGCTTTTGCGAGATTTGATGCAAAATAATTCATGGTTTGGTGGTAAGCCTATATTGTTTGGAGGCGATTTTCGTCAAGTATTGCCAGTGGTACAGAGAGGAAATCGGGCACAAATAGTAAATGCATGTATTAAGTGTAATCCAATGTGGCCATTTATTACTCAATGCAATTTGACCACCAATATGAGAGCACAAACAGATCCATGGTATAGTGAGTACATTTTAAATATGGGTAATGATAAAATTCCCAAATTGCCGTGTAGCAATTTAATCAGGTTGGAGAATGAATTTTTGACAAAAGAGCCAATACAAAATTTTGTTTTTCCAAGGACAATGGAACCATGTGACATGCAACAATATGCTGATCATGTGATACTCTGTCCAAGAAATTTAGAATGTCATGTGATAAATGATAATATTCTAAATCGTATAAATGCTTCAGAACATATTTATAATTCGATCGACAGTATTGATGAAAGTCAGCCAGCAGATGCTATTAACTATCCTACAGAATTCTTAAACACGATACAACCAACGGGATTTCCACCACATCGACTACGTCTCAAAATAGGAGCAATTATTACTCTGTTGAGGAATTTAGACAAAACGAAGGGCTTATGTAATGGAACTAGATTAGTTGTTAAAAAACTACACAATCACTCCATAGAAGCAAAAATGTTTAACAATAATATTGTCCTAATACCACGCATAGATTTAGTATCGACCAATGACCCATCATTGCCCTTTACATTGCGGCGTAGACAGTTTCCAGTGAGACTTGCTTTTGCGTGTACAATTAATAAATCTCAAGGTCAGACATATAATAAAGTTGGATTACTATTGGATTCTACAATATTTAGTCATGGTCAGTTATATGTAGCATTTTCACGTGTTCGTTCTAGACATGATATCAAAGTATCTGTGAAAGATTTGACAACACAAGGACGATTACATGGCTATCAAGGAATTTATGTATCAAATATAGTTTATCCGGAAGTTTTAAATGATATTTAATAAAATGTTATTACTTAGTGTTAACATACAAGATGCTATTACTTAGTGTTAGCATGTAAAAATTGTTCTTACTTAATGATAACATACAAGATGCTATTACTTAGTGTTAGCATGTAAAAATTGTTTTTACTTAGTGATAACATACAAGATGCTATTACTTAGTGTTAGCATGTAAAAATTGTTTTTACTTAATAATAACATTCAAGATGCTATTACTTAATGTTGGCATAAGTTCATATTCATTTTATGAAAAGCTATTATAGACCAGTTGTAATATTGAAGTATCGGGATTAAGTGTATTAAGAATCGAGAACCTCAGGTAGAAATCATATAATTTTAATTAATAAATTATTTTTCTATAAGAATTTGTGATGATATATAATAAAGTACTAACAAAAAATTATAGTAATAAAATGTGTTTATGTTGCTGCTGCTAATTAGGTATTTATTAGAACTAATACTGTTCCAAGTTCAAAAGTCAACATAAAAATGATTCATTTTTGTTAATGAATAAAACTCATCAATATAATTCCTTTTTAATAATATATATTAAACGCATGTAAGATAAATTATTGTTTTTGATAATTATTATATATTAAATTATAAAAATTAATGATAAATTTTTAGAGAAAGAATACCTATGAAACATTATTTACAACGTAATGAAAGTAAAATTAAATAGTTAATATTTTAAGCTTTAATAGCTTAAACAGTTGAACTGATTTATTATTTGTTTATTTTACAGAATTGTTCATAACCTAATTGGATTATCAAAGTTCATGTTATCACTAATTAATAAACACATATTATACTTCAAAAAATAATTAAATATTCATCTATTAGTTAACAACTAATATATTAAAAATAATTAAAGCAAATTGTTATTTTTTACTTAAAATAGGATAAATTTGTTACGTATTAATTTATATATTATAAATAAAAGTAATTACTTAATGCATATGTTTACATGTATATATAATTTTTAACTTTTAAAAAATATTATATTTATGAGAGACAACCGATTTTGATTTTTTCTTAATATTGTAATTAGATTATTAATTATCTTTTTCTTTTGATATTAAGTTTAGTTTATTAAGTATACAGATACTTTCTGTCAATTTCTTTTAAATATGTTCATAGTACAATTTATTTTGTTATATTTAATCATGTTTATTGTTATTATATAATACATATTATATTAACATATTATTATATATCATATAACATATTCTTATATATCTTTTGTTTGAACTTTGGGCTTATAATCAGCTTTTTGTTCAAATGTACATTTTTTCTTTTGAACTTTTTTTTTTATCTTATTTATCTCATATTTGATGTATAAGACTATGAGTTTATTGTAAAAATTGAGATCCAACTATGACAACTAACCTGTCTAACATCAAATCAATACATTTAACTATTTTTTTTTCTTTTTGAATTTTCCTGATTTAAATAATTAAATTTTTAATAATTTTTGTTACACTGATTCTGATACAATATTTTTTTTGTAAAACACTTATCGTGCCCGGCGTAGCCGGGTACTCCTACCGGAATCAGTGGCCTACTTATGATGACGGCCCGAAGAGGCTTACGCGCCGAAGGCGCGTAAGGCTCGTAGGGCCCCGGGTCTGGGGCGGAGCCCCAGCTAGGCGGAGCCTAGTAATATT